ATAATTTTTACGACTAATAGTCGCAGTTCATTCGCCTAACAAAAATAATTATTTATTGGGCGACGAACCGCGATTGACCGAATCGTACATCGAATCTCCGAATATTCATCGTAGAACAGTCGCATACTTTAACTCATAATTTTCTCGCCCATGCTCATACCTGTCGCCTATTTAGCGCATAGTTCATCGCATATGTCTTCGTACATTTTGGGGTGAAAAACTTAGCTTTTTATTGGGTGGTGTGAAAAACTTAGTATGACTTCATAACGGGGTGAAAATAACTATTTCCTCTATTATTATTGTCTCGCACATGTGTGTATTGTTTGTTTACAATAAAAAACATTATACGATATTTTTTTAGAATTATTTTTAAAAGAAAAACACAACTAGAATTATTTTATAAAGAAAAACACAACGATAAAACTAATTAATTATTTTTTTTAATTCTAAGGGTTACTAAAATAAAAATATAAAATAATACTTATTAAGATAATATTAGGTAAAAAATATTTATAAAATTATTTTTTATTAGTAATTTTATCTAAATATTATCAATTTTTATATATCATATCGTTGTAATGAATATTATTTATCTCTCCACGAAAGTGATAGTTTCTCCGCTAGTTGGGCTTGAATTTTCTGCTGTGAAAGGGCTCGTTTGATTTCGCTTATTCTTATTTGTTTTAGTGATAGAATTTCGGTTGTCTGTTTATGTCTTGTCTTTTTTGTTTGGGTCGTTGACCCCCGTGAGCCTAATTGTGGGCAGTTATTATTTTGTTGGCATCGTACACTCGGCATTATCCTGTTGAGATCGTTTTAGTTTTTATTAGGTTTTCTAGTTGTTGTTTGTGTTGTTGCGAGTATGTTATTGTAGTGTTGTTAGGTCAGACTAGGCGATTTTCGTATATGTCCTTCCAGTCTTTTCAGCTTTTGGTGGTACTTTTCAGCTTTTATTTGTTTCTTTTTGCACTTTGTGCAGTTTTTAATTATATAATATCTCTATCGTTCCAAAAAAAACTATATATATATTATTTCATATTTGTATTATATGCAAATTATTAAATCAATTAAATCCTTTAAAAAGAGTTAGATGCTAGACACCCATGTGCAATAATTGTTGCCTAAGCCGCTCTTATAAGTTGACCACCCCTTAATAGAAACTTTCTTTTTAAAAAAAAAAAAAAAACTTCCAGTAAAATCATCAATGTTTTGAAATTGTAATAATATAATGCCTAAATTTTATTCTTTCTCAATAAAAGATTTACAATTTAGGTTATTATAATTTAAGACTTAGTTATTTTTTTTTTTTATTTAACTTCTCAAAGTAAGGCTCAAGTATATATACTTTTTGACATTATATGTGAATTAACTAACTTTATTTATGATATATATATATATAATTATATGAACACAAGTATTATTTATTTTGTAGTTTATATTTTACATGCTTAAAATAAAAACTAATAAATATATTTAGTAATATGACTTTAATAAAGAAATGAATCTATATAAATTACTTTTAAGATATTTTGTATATCGATTACATTATACATTTTAAATTTAAGATTTCAATTATCTCGGTTAAAAGATAACATAAAAAATAAATATAAAATATTAATATACTATATAAATTTTTATAATCTACATAATATTTTATTTCGATTATTAGTTAATTCAATTGACCAACTAATGAAGAAAAAAACATATATCGCATCATAAAATGCATAATATTACTAAATAAGATGCACATTAGAATGTATCAGACAACATCTATTAATATATAATAAGGATTAACTTAATTAATTATTAGTAACTAATTCCCGCTAAAAATATTAATTACTGCCTATAAATAGTAATTTAACCCAATTTCATAAAAACACTATTAATTATGCCATATTTACATGGATATGGAATAACATCAATTGTATGGAATGGAATAAAAATCATAAAATCGCTGCCATTATCCATACAATACTATTTTAGTATTTTAGCTCCTAAATTTAATTCAGATAATTAAAAACTATCAACTGTCATTACTGCATAAATTTTAAATTCACTATCATCTTTGATCACAAATTTTTAAAATATCACTATCAACTTTAATAACAATTTTTAAAATACGAATAATTAATAATTTTTTAAATGTCAATGTCATGAACTTTAATCACAATTTTTAAAAATATCACTATCACCTTTAATAACAATTTTTAAAATAGCAATAATTAATAATTTTTAAAATGTCAATGTGATCAACTTTAATCACAATTTTTAAAATCACTATTAATTGTTGCCCGTTTAAATATGGAATCGAATAAAAATCCTTTATACACGCCATTAAATATGGAATAACAACAATTACATATAATTTGGAATTGGAACGTACATAGCAATTTTTTTGGCTCCATTATCACTATTAAATTACTGCCGATTAATATTATTTTTTGTATGGAATGGAATAAAAATCATTTTTTCACGCCATTAAATATGGAATAAAAACAATTGCACATCTATATATATCTAAAAAGGATGATGGAAAAATCCTCAACACCCGTAGGAAAACAAAAATCACAAAATACAAAAATTATTTTATGGCACCATTCAGAGGTACAGTAGACGTCGTGAGTCGATTCAACAAACCGTTTTTGAAGTTGAGAGTAGTTCTACTGCTGGAAACTCATGACGATCCGGAGCATCCAAACGCCTTTCATATCCTGTTTCATGATGAAGGGATAATTATTTTCAAATATTTTATCATTAACATTATTTTCAGTGTTTGTATTATTTATTATTTTCAAAACTGTATTATTTCAACTATGTAGGGTTCATACATGAAAGTAATAGTACGTTCGCAGCATATGAGCATATTTCGAGATCGCCTTAAACAAGGCGAGGTGTATTTTATTCGCAATTACAATGTTGAATATAATAGTGGGAGGAATAATATAATAACTAATTGTTGGAAGATTGTCCTTAATGGAAGGACAAATTTTATCAAATACAATGGAAATTTTCCTCAATACTAGCAATGATCGAGATATGGTTGTCGTCTGGATTTCTTAGGTTTTTATTATATATAGATTTGATGATGGATGTGTACTACATTTTATCATGAATAAATTTTTATTAGTAGACTCCTCATTCGATTTTGTACTTACATACAGTTCTTTTATTGTTTGTTTGTTTTATTTGTTCTACATGATTTATTTTTGTATATATGTTTGTTGTTCATTTTTTTATTTGTGTTCTTTCAAATTCTAATAATTTATAATTTCATGTTATTGAATTTATTTTATTTTATAATTTATTCGATTAAATTATTGCATGCTTGAACAATTTAACATACTCACCTTTTTTTTTTAAAAAAAAAATAGATTACATTATAATAATAAAAAAAAATAGGATTATGTTAAAAATAACAAAATTTGGTTTTTTTTTCTTTTATGCGCTTAAAATAATATTAAGCTTGATCAATTAATCAATTAACTGAATAATATAATTAAATAATATAATAATTCATTTGAGAGATTCATTTCTATAAATTGTTTCTATAAATTGTGTTTCTATAATCAATTAATAATGAATTCGTGTATAAAGTTTTGTTTTAATGACGATTTAATTATTTTAATGATGATTTCATTATTTAATACATGTTGTATAATCGGGATATTATAATCTTTACTAATAATTAATAATTAAAATAACTACGAACCATTAGATAAACAAATATATATACTTAACAATATCAGATACACAAATTAACTAAAAGACATGTTTTTAGTCATGGCCAGTTATACGTCGCTGTTTCACGTGTTACTAATAGGAAGGGGTTGTAAATATTAGTTTGTAGGGACGATGAGTTACCCAGTAATCAAACTAATAACGTTGTATATAAGGAGATTTTTAATAATGTATAACTTTATATAAATGACGATTTTATGTTTACTTTATGAATGTCATACATATTATAATAACTTATTAATTAATGATCTTTTAATTTTTTAAAATATTTCAAAACATATACTAGCCCGTGCATCGCACGGGTTACATACTAGTAATATTCAAATGCACAATAATTTGGTCAGTATATATAGCGCTTGAATCTGTGCACAATAATATCAGTCGAGTTGCACATTAACGTGTATCAGACAACATAATGTTGGACGAAATGCACATTATTGTATGTGTAAGTGCACAACATTAATTTGGGATTTCATATATTATATTTTTTCAAACAAAATAGTATTAAATATCAAATAAATATATTAAATATACTAAATATATTATTATTAGTAGTAATAATTTATTTTGATAATTTAAGATTATCCTGTTAACCAGATGAGTAAACCAAATAATATACCTCAATTTCAATTTTGGTTTGGGTAAAAAATTCGGCCAGTAATCATAGCGGTTGAATTTGTGCAGAATAATGTCATTCGAGTTGCACATTAATGTGTATCGCACTGTATATTAGTGATCAAAACTTACCGACCTAAGTTTTACGGTTCAAATATTTATATTTCGATTCAATTATATATATATATATATATATATATATATATACTTTTTTTTAAAAAAATATTTCAGTTCGATGTCGACATTAATATTTAAAAGAAAAAATAATCGAACATACCAAACTATATATAAAAAGGCCCAATTGCTGGTAAAAGCACGACCTTACAACTTTTTGCTGTTTTAACCACTACAAAATAAATGTTATATTCCGACGGAAAATCCTATGGTAATATATTCCAATGAAAATTCCAACGGATATTCCAATGGAATAGCTTCCGTTGGAATAGTTCCAACAGAAATTCCAACGAATATA